AGGGTCAGCCGGCTAGTTCGGGTGGCATGGCTCGCCCCTCAGTCCTGGCTGCTCCGTCTGTGGACAATAAAAAGAGGGAAGGCGGTCAGTCATCCATGCAGACACTGTCCCTAGGCCGTGCCCTCCTGTGTTAGCAGTGACCAACAGTCCTCAGGCCAGAGGATGGGGATGTCCCAGGAGCCAGGCCATGTGTGCGCTGCACAGCAGGCCCTGCCTCAAAGGGGCCCGAGGTGTCCAGGGACCATGCTGCCCACTTTCCCCCACTCATGGACAAGCAGGCAAGGGAAGTGTCTGGCCATGGGTGAGAGAGAAGCTGGGAGCAGCCTGGCCCTCTCTGGGTTTCGCATACACCCCTGCACCTGGCAGTGCTGTCCACGGGAGCGGGTGGTGTCTCACGCAAGCAGGCATGCCCGTGTGCTGTGTGCGGCACTCCTCAGTGTGTATGGGGTCGTGCCTGTGCCCTTATAACTAGCCTGGGGGGGGGGGGGGGGGGCAGGCTTCCTCCCTCCCCCCAAGGCCAGACGTGTGTGTGGCCTCCCCCAGCCCAGACATGTGGCATCCCCCCAGGACTAGACGTGTGTGTGGCCTCCCCTGAGCCTGGGAGCAGGATCCCAGGAGTGCTCAGGGGCTGCCTCCTGAGGCCAAGTGGTGCACAGTGATGTTGTACATGGTTCCACGTGCATGGACTGCAGAATGATTTCCAGTCTGAACGGGCTGAGCGACGATCGCACCCCATCCCCTCTGCACCGGCCTTCCCTTCCCTGTGTGAGAGACAGACTGAGAGCAATCACCTGAAGATCCCTCCCCGGTGTCAGATGATGCCTGCGACACATCCAGGCTTACGGGTACCGGCTCCAGGGACAGCGTCACTGTTGTTGCCATGTCGTCCTCCTCCTCCTGCTGTCCCTCATCCTCCTCCTTCTCCATGACCCCCAGCCAGGAGATGACAGGTGTGTCAAGCCTATTTGAAACACGGGAGAGTGGGCAGGCAAAGCCCGCCCACTTTCTAAAAGCCTGTCGGACGATCGCACCCCATCCCCTCTGCACCGGCCTTCCCTTCCCTGTGTGAGAGACAGACTGAGAGCAATCACCTGAAGATCCCTCCCCGGTGTCAGATGATGCCTGCGACACATCCAGGCTTACGGGTACCGGCTCCAGGGACAGCGTCACTGTTGTTGCCATGTCGTCCTCCTCCTCCTGCTGTCCCTCATCCTCCTCCTTCTCCATGACCCCCAGCCAGGAGATGACAGGTGTGTCAAGCCTATTTGAAACACGGGAGAGTGGGCAGGCAAAGCCCGCCCACTTTCTAAAAGCCTGTCGCCCAGCCTTGCGGGAGGGATAACTGGACCCAAGTTGACCACCACGAGTGGGGAAAGGGCTTCCCCACTTCCCAAGATCTGGTGCAGCTCCTGATAGTAGGGGCAGGAGTCCGGTCCTGCCCCGGACCACAAGCTGCGCTCTCTGGCCCTCGCATGGCCCTGCCAGAGCTCCTTGACTTTACTCTGGACCTGTTCTAAGGTCTGGGGTGGGTGTGCCCACTTCTACAGGGCTTCGGCCATGTAGCCATATATGTTGGCGTTGCGGCGTCTGGAGCGGAGATCCTATAGGGTCTCCTCCTCCCCCCACAGCTTAAGGAGGGACAGGATCTCTGCTCAAGACCAGGAGGGTGCTCCTGCTTGGTACCCCCGGGTGGGTCCTGGGAGCCCTGGGAGGGCCTCAGGGGACTTATGGCTCGGCCATTGCTCACAGTGTGGGTAGCAGGGAGAGCTGTGCAGTCAGGTGCTTGTCCAGGGTGCCTGCAGCTTTAAGAGGTGCCAGGAGACAGGAACTATAGAGTTATGATTAGTTTGGATGGAGTGGCCACCAGAGCACCTGTGTTATTTCCTGGAGGCCTCTTCTTTCAAAAGAAAACTCTCTTCCCTGTCCATACAGGCCTTTTCCCAAAAGAGCTCTTTCAGAAAAGGCGTTCTACCCAAACACTCACAGAAAAAGGTTTACCGCTGTCGGAAAAACCCCTCCATTCTTTCGACTTTTTGTAGAAAGAACACGATTGCAATGTGGACATAACTGAAGATTTTTCAAAAAAACAGCCATTTTTCCAAAAAAACTCTGCAGTGTAGACATACCCTGAGATATGAGGTGGGGAGGGGATACCTCTGGGATCTGAGGTTCCCCCACACTTCTGAAGGTGGAAGCAGCCAGCAGGTAAAACTATGTCTGAATCCGTCAACTTTTGGGGGCAGAGATTTTCTCTTCTTGTATTTATTTTGCTAATGATAAATAATATTTATTACTACTTGTCACATTGGGGTGAGAAAATGATATTATGTTGTTTAACATTTATTTCTACATATTGTTATTTCTAATTTTCTAAAAAAAATGATAGTGACCATAAAAGACTTTTTCAGAACAATGAAGGCTTGGAATAACTACCTGGATTGGCCTATTGCTAACTGTGTTTTAATAAATTCTGACCCTTACCAGCAGAGTTCTTTCTAGGAAGTTAGAGCTAGAAGGGGACAGGGGGGGAGGGATTGTTTTTCTCCAGTCAAATCTTCCAGTCAAGTTAATGGGAACTTTTCTAGGTATAGATTTCAGGATAAGGTCCATCATAAACATATTCATTTTAGGAGTAATATAAACTCTCCAGTAACACACAAATTGTGGGCCAAATCCTGCATTTCATACTCAGGGGAAAATCCCAGTGAACTTAAAGAATGTGAATTTTCCCCATATATGTAAGGCAGGATCAGGCAATTAAGAAGTTACCCAAATAATCATTTCCCCCGCATCTTTAGAAGAACAAACATTCTGGTTAGTGGTAGTCACAAGATCATAACCATTTAAAAATAGGAGATAAAAATGCAACCATTCTGGTGACATTTTCCCCAATACGTTTAATCACCTCTGTGTGTCATGGACTTAGACAAATACCACTGAAGTAGCTAGTCCAGAACAAAGTGCATCAGCGAGCAAAATTATGATGTTAAAATTTCCAGGAAAGGTCTGTGACTTGAATCATATATTAATCAGGATCCCAAGTAGACCGAAGGAAGTTTGGTGAATTCGTGCCCAAAGAAAAATATTTAACCAATGAAAAAACCTAAAAGACACTATTTTGTTTTTTATAAAAAAGATGTTCTTTTTTTATTTGTTATTAGAGTCTTAAAAAATCATGAGCAGGCAAGACAACAAGCATGGACATGCCAGCCCATGTATCTAAATCTTAATAGGGTCAAACATTAACCAGTTAATTGAGACAGGTACATGACAGAGAGTGGTCCTTGACTAGACAGTCAATGGGATTTTTTAGCTCAATCTTCATTTGACTGAGAGCGAGTCACCTAACACTTGCGAAGTAGCCAGTAAATCATAATTCTCTCACAGAGCTATCCCCCCTTAAATCTTGTTCCCCTTGCTTCCTCTTTCCCAGCGATCCTTTGGCAGTGCAGGGAATTGCTGCACTCCAGTGATCTCCAATCAACTGAATGGTGATTCAGGCACTGTTCCTATTCGTGTAGCTTAGACCGGCAATCTTTAAGAACCTCGTGAGCTGCAGGATGAAGGAGAAACAAAGGTGATTTAAAGCCAATCTCCTCCTCCATCTTCCCTCAAACATATTCAACTGGATCCAGGGGTTTGCCCTAAAACCTTATATTTTGGTTCAGAAAAGAGAAGTAGAAAGAGTAGAAAGACACTCAGTCATTTCAGACCAACAGATTACTAGGCACAGAGCTGAGTTTGTGTGTGCGTGCTTCTTACCGCTGTGGTTCCTGCAGGCATTATTAGGGGTACTACATTTTTTGGAAAACCAACACAGCTGCTATAATTTTTGGCTGCTCAGTTTAATTTTGAATTTCTCCCTTTGGAGCCCCATTCTTCTTCATAGATTATTCCCATATGCAGAGGGAGTGGAAATGCAAAAAAAGCTTTAACTCACAGAATTTTCTTATAATTCTTCCATCAGGAGAGGTGTGAATGAGATTTGCCTTCACTTTCCCTCCCCCAGAAAAAAATGGGAATTTGGCTCCTGCAAACTTTTGAATCTCACGACATTGTTTGGATAGAAAACGCTCCCACATTTAGGCATTTTCTAGATGCTCACTGCTTGCTAGCCACTTGCCAAATCTTCAGTGTTAACAAGTGATTCCTCTCTTACCGAAGCACTCACAGATCTTGAACGCTGTAGAGCAGTCAATGAAGGGCTTCCATAGGATGGCAGGGAGGAGGGAGAAGCAGGATACTGAGGCATCACCTAGGCTCCCTCTGCCTTCCTTACCCTCCTACAGTAGGAGTCTATAGGCACAGCACCCTCTCTTCTTGTAGTAGCATACTGAAGTATGCCTGCTGCACCAAATTCAAATGTGGACCTTGAACACCAACAAGATCTGTGGCGTTCCACACCTGAGTTATGGCTCAGCTCATAGAGTTTTGGGCCAGGCAAAAAACTCAGTTCCAGATCCATATCTTGAATATTACTAGATTATTTTGGGCCTTTAGGCAGTGAAGTAATACAAATAATAATAAAACACATACACACACAGACCACTGTAACATTATTAGTCTTAGGGCTCTGAGTCTGTAACCTGTTGTGACGGGCTGTCACTAGCCCGGGGGGAGCTCATAGAGTTTTGGGCCAGGCAAAAAACTCAGTTCCAGATCCATATCTTGAATATTACTAGATTATTTTGGGCCTTTAGGCAGTGAAGTAATACAAATAATAATAAAACACATACACACACAGACCACTGTAACATTATTAGTCTTAGGGCTCTGAGTCTGTAACCTGTTGTGACGGGCTGTCACTAGCCCGGGGGGAGGACGGCCGGAGCCACCACCCGCAGACAGCCGGCGGCCAACCCCAAGGCCCCCAGCCTTACCCCGGCGTAAGCCGGAGGAAACG